TTGCTTGTTAATTTTTGCTGCATAATTTGATCAAATATGTAAAACATGTCCGTAGCACGTTAAACTGTGGTGCCATTGTATTAATATACAATTATTTGCTCAAAAGTTGCCCTTTTTTTCCAATTTGCGTTTGAATATCTACATTTATTCTCATTCTTCTGTTTAATGGAATGCACAAACACAGCAGCGTGCCATCAAAGATGGCGTCTCCGAGGAGGTCATGTGACATTCATTGGTCTGTGGGAACTATGTATTGCTTTGAAAAAAGTCTCTCCCACTTCTCCGTGTTGATTTCTTCAGGCTGCATTTGTTGTCAAGCCATGAATTCTTCTGTGACGTGTCTTTCAATCACACGTTTCAGCTTTAGTGTCCAGATTCAGCAATTTCAATTCAGTCCAAATTATGTCCAAATTCAGAAATCCAATTGTTCCAAATCATGTCCAAATTGTGTAATCCAATTGTTCCAAATGATGTCCATGCAAAAGAGGACGCTGGTATTGTCCATGTCTCAGCAGCTCACAGCCTGACTGGAATCAGGGGCTGTGCAGATTGTCCATGTGCTGATCCAGATGCATGGTTTCTCTTGAGGTTTCTCAGTTTTGGCTTAAAAAAAAAAAAAAACACTTTTTGTGTAAAAAAAAAAAAAGAGTCTTCTGTTCTCTAGATGTTACAGACAAGGCCTGCATCCTTCCACCACCTGAAGAAGATGTGCCAAGTCTGGGATCGCGTCTTTAATTCTGACAGAAGACATGTTTTATTGTCGATGGTAGAGACAGCACGAACAACACACACAACAGAATGCAAGTGTATTATACAGAGCGGAGGCATGGAGACCTCCAATCAGCAGCTTCCACGGTGCCATGTAGCTTGGCCTTCAGATAGACACAACAAGGGAAAAGTACTGGCTTCTGCACATTGATAGAATGATGAGTTTAACTTTAACAAAAGTTGCTTAGAAGTGTTATGAAATCTCACAGTCTAAATGTCAATTAAGTCTAATATTAAAATGAGGATGGGTTCATCTTTTTGTTGATATTTTTTCTGCAGAAGATTCATTTCAGGCATAAGTTTGTGTAAGCTCTCAGTCGTACAGGGATTAGTCAAAGCAAAGGAAGGTTTCTCACCCATCATCTGTACTTCTTAGCAGGTTTTCCTGACGTTTCGTCCTTAATCCAAAGAACTTTATTGAGGGAACTTTTTCACGCTGTTAAAAGCCTGGCCCTCAGTCAGTCTTTTAGTCAGTCTCAGTTCTGCTTTAGACCTGCTTTTGTCATGCTGAGCGAGTGTCCCCTGTTCCTCATGAGCTTGCAGACTTGTGGCACAGACACACAGCTGCTGCATGTGTGTGGCTTTGAGGCTTCTCTACTCCAGGACCAGAACAAGGAGGAAAAAAACCAGGATCCAATCTAGTAGGGATTCTGAGATGCGACAAACTAATCAGGGGAATGGACATTGGATAGCGATTTCAAATGCATTTCCCCAGGACCCAGAGCAGAAAGAGTATAGCCTGAAGCAGATAGAGTAAGTGTCACGCAGGTAAGTGACCCGTGTGTGTTATGACTATGCTGGACCGCTGTGCATGTGTCTGGTTCTGGTAGCCTATAGGAGGCAAATGTATTTGCTTTTTTACACGTACACTGAATGAACGATGTGAGCAACATGTTTAATGTGGTTAAAATCACTTTTCCTATGGTGTCAACCTTTTGTTTGAAATCTGTGGACCCAGATGTATGTTTAAGCCCGACCCGGGCCCGCTCTGAATAGCAGTGTTCCCTCACTCTGAGGAGAGTAGCAGGAATCAGAACCAGAGATGGGAAAGCATTAAGTGGCAGCTGGGGCCACTTGTGTGCAAGTGGATCCCTTTCCAGAGGTGCACGATTGTGCAAGGAGAGTGGCCATTCTACGTGATTGTGAACAGGTCCACTGTTGTGCGGCCAAACCAGACCCAAATCAGATCCACTACAATGATGAACATAACACCAGCCTGCCCAGGGACTACAGGTGGAAATTAGCATCTCTGCTATAACCTGGTACATGCATTTCTCCTTTTGTGTTAATGCTTAACTGTACACTGTCCCTGTTCAAATAAAGTACATACATACTACGAATGTGTTCGGGTGCCATCCTCTGTACAGGCGACATCCCCTGGGCAGACGAGCCACACCCACATTCAGAACGGTTGCTTCAGAACTAAGATACATGCATCGCACCACAAAAACATGAACAAGAAACGGTAGCGCAGTTCTCCTTGGGGATTCACATAAACCACAATGGACATCAAGTGTCTCATAAGCTCCAAGTTGTTTTTGTGAGGACAGAGGAGTTGAGGGCTTCACACACGTTTACAGGTCTGACCTCGAACACACCGCCCCAGCCAGTGAGACAAGCATATAGACCAACCAGAGTGGTAGCGGGGGCTTAAGACTTTGACCGTTGTGGGACATGGAAGGAGGAGTTAAAACCAGGACTTGGACCACGAGAGACAAATTTGACCTGGGTGCCTGAGCAACAGCAGCCTGCTCGTGCAGGAGATAGAGGTGAAGTGGCTTGTTTTCTCCCTGGCCTTCCTAGTGTCAAATACCACTTTCGGAACATCCGTCATGTCCAAAATATCTTTCCCTCTCTTTGTCAGACAGATTGGTCAGGCTTAGCCTCCCTCCACCTCACCCTCTCTTGTATGACACCAATATGACAGTACATTTCCCCATAGCCTGAATAGCATAGCGTTGGTACATGTGGGTGAAAATCAGACACAGTGGTAATGTCGTTCCATGGAGCAGCAAGCTTATTCATATCGGCACTCTTAAGTGACTGAGGGGCAGGGGATGTCGGCCACCTGAGGCCATTTTTAAAAAGATGGCAGGAGGGAAAAACAATGACAAAGAAAGTTTCAACAGCAAGGATTGGCATCACTACGTCCGTCAATATTTACAGTCTATGACTAAAACGTATTCTCGGTGTGGTGACTCGCTCAGTGAAGCAAGAATTCTTGAAAGACTGTGAATCACTTTGTTGCATTTTCTGTGAAAGGCACTCTATAGATATAATTGATTGATTAATAAATTGAATGTTGTATATGACGTCATGAAAGTGGCATTCATAGTGAGGTGCCAACGTTTGTGACGCCACTCAGGGTAAAGCCTGGTTCACACGAGACGATTTTAAAATTGTCGGCCGATTTTCCTAACCTGAGAGACCTCACACACTGAGATAAACATTAAGGGTCTAACCATTTTGGTCGTACATTGTGTGGTGCGCAGCCACACGCAAAATCACGCAAACCACACACGAACCGATTTCCCCCCCCGAGCATTCCCAGGTCAGACGGAAATCTCACAAAATCTCTCGAGATCAAGCGTAACTTCAGAGTAAACCATCGTGGAGGACGAAGAGGATGCAGTGGCGATAGTTTGCAGTTTGTTTTTAACAGAGAAAAAGTGTTATCAAAAGAAAAGGCGATGGTCAAAGAAATCTTATGATTTTTGCTTTTTCATTTTGCATATATATATATTTCAAAATAAAAGTAAAAAGCATATAATGATCGCTGTTTGATCGCCGTGTGCTTCCCTTCTCTTATGACAACACTGCTTCTATCAGTAGTTTTCATCTGACCCACGGTTTTCAAGGTCGACGCTGACCCCGAGGAGAACCAAGAGAGCCACTCAGCCAAAGACAAGGAGCCTTCACGAGACTGTGATTTCACTGACAAACACACACTGATTAATAAGAATGTTTGTTATTATGTTTCAGCGATAGAGAGAAATCACCTCACTTAGGAACGCTCATGAGCTTTGAGAACGACTGAAAGCAGAAGACTCAAAAGATCCAAATGAGATCCACAGACATGAGCAAATACAGGGGGAGCTCAGAATAAAGCCGCTGCTCCTCCATGTAAACAGGAAGTTCGGGTGGCTGTTGTTTTTGCAGCATCTTTAGCTGTAAATGATAAACTAAACTCTATAATATAATGATGCATATATATAAAACCACATTCACAATATTAGAAATTTTATCACCCTCAATTATGTTTTGAATTCAAACAGACAAAGAGAATCCTTGGCTTGAAAAGGACCATTTATTTATTTAGAAAACATATTAACTTCTATGTAAGAAAGAGCCCTGTGCGTCACTGAGAGTGAGGTGGTACATAAATAAAACAAAAATGTCTCACTTTTCTGTCTGAAAAAGCTGATTCAAAGATGTGACAGAGGCCAGAAATACACTCGTGATAGAAGCAGCTGTGTCAAAGCCAGGAACTAGAGACATAGGTTTTCATTACAGGGTTTTTGTGGTTTGAAAGTTATGTACCCCAGCATTAACTACGGAGTATAATTTGAGATAGTGAGATGAGGCATAAGCTATTACTCACATGAAATAAAACACTGTAGAATTAATAAATAAAGCTCTTCCATAAAAAAACATCTATTTATACTAAACTCAAGATAAATGTTGAGTAATCCTTTAGCCTGAAACCACAGGACTACAGCAGAATACATGAGAACAACAACAGCTACAACTGAACAACAAACAATGATGACCAATGAACACAGCCATCTTGACCTCACCTGTCATGCATCTGTGCAATAAATTGAAATTATGTTAGAATGTGCATTATGGGACCACATGTGTCCACTGTCACTTTAAGCCCATACCCTCACTTTTGAGACCTCAAAGCTAATGACTTGCTTCACTTAAGGCGCGTTCAGACCAAAAGCTTCTAAACGCTTTTGACGCTCGTCAGCTGACGCCGGGTAATTTTTTTTGTCATTTTGGTGCTTGAAGCTTGATGCGAGTGACGCGCATGACGCTGGTGGGAGGAGCTTCTCTGTTGCCGGCAATCAAGACAACGGTTTATTTTCCTGAGAGCAGCGAGCCTTTATTTGTTATATAAAGCCAAACAACGTTGTCGTGGGGTTTCTTCAAAACATGTTCTGGGTTCACCACACACTTGAGAAGCAGCAGTGTTTGCCGAGTTTCACCATTTACTCCAGGAGCTGCGTATGGATGTATTTCGCTTTCAGCTTTCTCCCCACCTGGAGCTCGCCCCGCTCTCGCCCGCCTGGAGCACGCCCGGCTCTCGCCCGCCTGGAGCTCGCCCCGCTCTCGCCCGCCTGGAGCTCGCCCCGCTCTCGCCCGCCTGGAGCTCGCCCCGCTCTCGCCCGCCTGGAGCTCGCCCCGCTCTCGCCCGCCTGGAGCTCGCCCCGCTCTCGCCCGCCTGGAGCTCGCCCCGCTCTCGCCCGCCTGGAGCTCGCCCCGCTCTCGCCCGCCTGGAGCTCGCCCCGCTCTCGCCCGCCTGGAGCTCGCCCCGCTCTCGCCCGCCTGGAGCTCGCCCCGCTCTCGCCCGCCTGGAGCTCGCCCCGCTCTCGCCCGCCTGAAGCTTGCCCCGCTCTCGCCCGCCTGGAGCTCGCCCCGCTCTCGCCCGCCTGGAGCTCGCCCCGCTCTCGCCCGCCTGGAGCTCGCCCCGCTCTCGCCCGCCTGGAGCTCGCCCCGCTCTCTCTCGCCTGGAGCTCGCCTCGCTCCCACCTGGAGCTCGCCTCGCTTTGAGTCGGACTGATCGTCAGATTGTTTTTATATTAAATAAATAACTTTTACTTCACAGCATGTGTACGTTAATTTTGTTACTCACTTATTAAGAACGTTACTACTCATACAAATAATATTGCTAATAACAATAATGACAATAAAACAGCAGCAGCAGCAGCTACATAACTTCTTTCCACGACAGACCTGCTGCTGCTGCGCCTCATCTCCTGATTGGTTGAAGCCTGGCGCAAGCTCCAAAAGCCCAGCTTTTCTCAACTTTCTCAAGACGCGAGCGTTACATATGTCAAAAGCTTTAAGCGACGCGCGTAATGCTTACGTCTTTTGAAGCTTTTGACGCGCGTCAAGTGATGCCGGGCCTCTCGGCTTCACCTGACACGCTTCACCATTCACATTCAATGCAAACCTGACGCTAAGTTAAGTCCGGTCTGAACGCGCCTTATATTCTTGCACCAGCAGGTATTACAGATTTATCTGTACTTATTTGTATAAACCGGCTGCAATATAATAAGTATATATTTCCTGCAAAAGAGTGTACAGTATTTTATACTGCGTAAGCTGAAGATTGAGATTTTATTTTTGATTTATAGGGTTGCGCTATACTTAATTTTCACACATCTTGTGCCATGTACTCCTCATCCCTACAGTTATTTAACTTGTGATGCAACATCTTAATACTTTACAACTTACACTTGAATTGTTTAATTTTAATAATTCCCTGAGTAGCAAAGAGGAGTGGGAGATGATGTAAACTTTATAGAAAGACTAACTATGGACAGAAAGGTTAAGTGGCTTCCTGTGCGCCCGGGACAAATGAGATGGATGAATAAACTGGGGATAAACGGAGCGAACTGACAAGAAGCGGGATTAACAAACAGGCCCTTTACAATTCTTTTTACTTTCAGAATCAGAATATTTTTTATTGCCAATAACAGGAAGTCACAAACGTTCAAGGTGCAACAAGTTAGTGAGCAAATCAATATAACGCATGCCTGCATAATAAGTCTTCTACTTTATCTAATTGTTTTATGTATGGATTTATTTGAAAGGGTCAAGTATACACAATCAACATAAGCTTTTAACACAAATAAGAGCATTGTTACATTAGTATTATACAAAGGCCGGAGGTGTCCCCCGACTCACACAACTGAAGCTTGTTTTATAAATAACTTCAGTTCATGTTTAAAATCAGCCCAGTCCAAATTCAGTTTAAGTAAAGGACTTAAAAAGTTCTAGAGCTTTGCCCATGAACAGAGAAGAGACTATCCGAGCGTAGTTCTCCCGAGGGGAACTTTCACATTTGCCTCATCCGATGGAGTACACAGCCTCAGGGGAGCGATGAGCACTTTATACAAGTGCAGTAAATACAAAATAGACATTTAAGATTAAGAGATGAAGAGATCCTTTATTTGTCCCACAATGGGGAAATTTGTGTTACATTGAGAATGCGGAGTACACAGCACAATTTAATCATTTGCATTTTTAAAATGTTCTGCTGGCAATAGCAGATTTTAAACACCAAACCCCAAAAGTTGTATATCATTTTAAAGCTTATTTTCTTATCTACAATAATATGAAAGTGTCAACAATATCAGACTGCATTCAAAAGATATAACACAAAATATGGGCACAAAATAAATCACTTCCGAAAAGTTTTTTACCTTTGGGCTTGTGCTGCATAAATAAATCAGATCTCCTCCCAGCTTCCAATACCTCTTTCTCTCTGGAGCAGTCCATTGAAAAATAATATCCACTTGTATTTCCAAAAGTATAATCCATTCTGGAGAAATAATCCAAAAACTAAAAAAAAGAGCACAGAGGCTGCTCTTTCCTGTTTGCGGACTTTTAGCTTTGTTTTTTTCTGCTTTTTTAGGTCTGCAACAGCTCCTTGAGTAGAACAAGCTTATTGCGTTTGGGTCACTCAAGCTATGTTGTTATTCTGAAGTCTTAAGAGTTACTTCCGGGCCAAATGATTGACATGTCCGTGTAGCCAATGAGGAAAGCTTTCTAGCAAGGGGTGGGACAAAGGTGTACTGCTTTGGGTTGTCTAAGTAGAAGTGTGCGTAATGGCATGGAGACAGACGGTGTCGGCGCAGCAATGATTTTACACTCCTAAAAAATTAACTTTGAAAAAATGTTTAAAAAAAAATCACATAGATTAGTACCTTATAAGTATCAAAAATAAAAAAAATATGGTTTTTATGATGAAGAAATGTCAGTAAAGCAATTTGGCACAATTGTGCCAAATTGGTTCCGAATGGCACTACTTTATGAAAAGGAGAAACTGCATAAAAACTATAAAACTTAGAAGTCTGAAACTTTAGACAGTTGTTGTCAACAACACAATGACCATAGGGTTTGAATATTGTTAACTTACAATGAAGTATGCCTTTTTTAGGGCCTTTAGAAATTGAAAATTTTAGGCAAAAATAGTTTTTTTCCCCAAACTTCAAAGGATGCAGAGTGAAATAGGAATGACAAACATTATTTTTGTGTATATTTACATAAACTAGAAGGCTCTAGCTTTAATATGATGCATCATTCAAGCATGTGACATGTAAGATGTGTTTTTAAATAAGCAAAGACATTTGGGTATGCCCAACTTTTGTGCAAAAGCCAAAATGAGGCGGATGTTAAGAGTGAATAATAACTGTACAAAAAAAATAATATCTCTAACTTTAGCATAATAGGGCAGTTTAAGCTTTGATATTCAGTGCATTATAACCAGCTGCATTTGGCTCAGGCTCATAGGGTCACGCTTGCAATACACTCACACAAATAGATGCGCACAAACAAAGCCACGATGGAACCAAACACCTGTGTGATGCCGACGCTAGTCCTAAAAACTAGACAACCTTCACGTCAAGGTTTTGCACACATCTGCTGCTTATGAACCAGGGGGTTGGAAGAGAGGTGACCAATCAGAGCAGAGGTGAGAAAGGTGGCCAATCAGTGTAGAGGTGAGGGAGGAGGTCAATCAGCGCAGAGGTGAGAGAGGTGGCCAATCAGAGCAGAAGTGAGTCAGTATGCATTTATACTTTCCATCAATACACAATAATTAGCCCACTTGAGTTCACTTGGGACCAGAGATCACCTTTATCAACCTTTAATTAACCAGGAGCACCCGGAGGAAACCTACACAGACACAAGGAGAACATGCAAACTCCACTCAAAAAGCTCCCATAGGATTTGTAACCTTGTACATTAAACAGATCTACGAGACAGAGGCGTTTGTGCTCGATTTGGCCAGAAGTTTCTAATATTTGTTGATAGTGATCACAAATGGTAATAACAACCAACTCCAGACATTTAATTTTTGGAATACAATATTAAACTATAATTGTAAAAAAAGACACTTTTTATTACTGCATGTATCCTTCTATTAAGATAGATAAGATAAGCTTTATTCATGGACAATGGAGAAATGTATTTATATTTGTCTCTAGGCTCAGACTTAACTTTACTTTGGCTTAACTTTACTTTTGAATACGCTGGAAACGACAGCCCGTCCTAAGTAGCTCTGAAACAGTTGTTTTTGTGCTTTACAATTTATATTCTCCTTGCTTTTTTCTACCTGAGATGTTGCTGCAGTTCAGTGTTCATGGTCCGAAACAAGCGGATCAGTTGATAATCCACTGGATGAAGGCTAATTTTTTGAAAAATACTAACAAAGCATATAGCCTTCTACTTTGGACCAGAGCAGAGAAGATTGTCCGAACCAAGCTGCTACACCACCTCTGCTGCTTTCACCCATCCTGCTCCACCCAAAGGTTCAAAGAGCCATATTTGACACAAAAAAAACTAAAAACAACATCTGTCTGGAGCCGCAAAAAAATAACAGCCTTGTATAAGGTTTATATGAAGGTAACACAGGCTGCAAGCTGTATTAGCTACTGTATATTAGTCTAATATCTAAATGACAAAGTAAAGGCTACAAATACATAATAAGCATTCATGATTATCAAATGTGTATTTTCACTGCAGCGTGTCCTGGAGAGAATGACGCACCACGTGACGGCTCTGCTTTAAGTTTAACTTCCATTTTTTTGCCTTAATGCAATTGTAGAAATACAAATCTGCAAACAAGAAGCAGTCCAACTGATTGACTGAAAGCAAATGTTCATTCTTGTTCTTAGTCCAGTCTTATTATCGACTCTTTCTCTTTTTAGCTTTGGGATCCATGCGCACACGCTGGTTTGTTAACAACAGCGGCCGCCTGGCGCACTACGTTGACAGAAATGTTGAAATTTAATATCAATTATGCACATTTTACAGCATTTAAAAACGTTAAGAATGTTTTTCCTTCTGCAGAAACCACATTCAAACTAGAAATAAAATATAGCCCTCCCACTCCATTTTCAGACATTTTTGTTAAGGCTCCAGGAGCCACTTGAGGGGCTCTAAAAGCTGCATGCGGCTCCAGACCCTTGGGCTACACCATCTCTGCTGCTTTGACCCGTCCTGCTCCACCCAAAGGCTACTCCATCTCTGCTGCTGTGGCCTGTCCTCCTCCACCCCCATGCAGCTACTTGACCTCTGCTGCTGTGACCTGAAGTGCTGTTGCATTTTATTATTACTATTGTCAGCTTTTTAGAATGATCAATTCATTTGTTTTGTTTGTGTGGAAGGATGTGTTTTTGCTGCTACTAGACACAATTTCTCCTAAGGGAACAATAAAGTATCTATCTATCTATCTAAATAGACACCACATGCAACTTGACTTCATGTTTACATTCTGACCACAACAATACATGAGAACCATTTCCCCACTGTGGGATGAATAAAGGAACTCTTATCTTTTCTCCCCAGATACAAACTAATAATAGTCCAGCAGTCATCTCGTTACTCTATAAACAGAAATGCAGAAATTAGGCCCTTTCCAATAAAAGTCCAGTGAGTAGTGCAGCCGCAAAGCGCGTGCTTCAGAGCTAGAGCAAATAATTACTGAGAGTCCAGGAGAGATAGCCTGAAGAAATCGTTGTTGTGGAGATGGCCAGTGCTCGGGTCGCAAGTCCAATGAAGAATACAATCCAAAATAAACTCCTCCTGCAACTCACCTCAAAACAGATTTTGAGAATGATTTTAAAGCATGTAGATGTGTTAAAAAGACAGAGTAAAATGTACATTGAAACATTAGACCAGAAAGAGAGACCAGAGAGAGAGACACCAGAGAAACCAATGAGAGACCAAAAACCAAAGAGAGAGGCTAGAGAGAGACCAGAGAGGCAGAGCTCTAAGCAGCTCGAAAGACTGCTTTAAACACTGAATAAAGCCACGTGGTTCCTTTTCCCCAAAGTGCCAGAAAGGAGAAAGTGTTGGAGCAGATCTCCACATTCTGTATGGCCTGTACAGTCTGTAAACCACACTTTTGTAAAAAAAAGAAAAAAAGAAATAAAGTTATCTAAATATTACACACAGACGCATGCGTCTTTAGGTCGTGGTGAAGCGTTACAAGTGTTTCAGACTTCAGGACCATGGAGCTCTATTACAAGTATTTCAGACTTTGGAGCTCTGAAGTGGGCGGAGCTTCAGATCCGGAAGTAAAGGCGGTAAATACGAAACCAAAAAAGGCCCATGGCAGATCAAACTCTAGGAGTCCAAGTGGTGTCGAAAAACTACACCACTTGGACTCCCAGAGCAGTCATTTTGATGGCTCCCATTCAAAATAATGGATTTCGGGAATAAAACTGATTTTATTTTTCACTACTTTTATTACAATTGAGTCATTCATACAGTGTTTTTTATATTTACTAGATGCTAAAAACTGGTTAATGAAAAGTACATATTAAAATACAGAAAAAGTAAATACGAACAGCTGCAAGTAAACAATGTTTTCCTATAACTAGCAAATACTCTGCCCTGAACCAGTCCAAGACCAAAAACATACATAAGCGTTCTGTAATTACTCTTCCAAAACAAAACGCCGTCAAATTGACCACTCTGAGTTCTAGTGTTAACTGTGAGATATTTGTCCAGGAACACCCAGAATGCTTAAGTGATCGAACTATAAGGCTTGTGATTGGCTGAGCCGCCGTTCCCCCACTTGCAGCCAACGACAAATATATTAAACAGTAAATTGAATGTTTGTGATATCTCTGTCAGACCTGATGTGTTTTAGCAAAAATTCAAGTTAATAACCGGTTTCCATGACTTGTACATAGCTGTATACCTTTTTCCTTAGCTACTCTAACAACAAACCAGTATTAGGGGTAACCATGACTTCCACAGAACTCTGGCAAATCACTGTCAGTTAGAACACTTTAGAACTAGCTCGACCTGGATAGAACCAGGGCTGAGAGGAGTAGAGTAGAGTAGAGCAGATTAGAGATTCAGATTCAGATTCAGTTTATTTGCCATTTGCAGTAAAAAAAACCACATTGGAATACATTAGCAAAAGTCTCCAGTGTGCCCAGACAAATACAGACATAAAACAACATTAAAAGACAAAAATAAAACAAATAAAACAGTAAATGTCACTGTGAAATCGATCGACTAAAACAGTTCAAAACAAGTGCAAATCATTGAAGTGCTCTGTTCACACTGATAACAGCTTGTGGATAAAAACTGTTAGCGTAACGAGATGTCCTGCATCTCAGAGAGCGATATCTTCTGCCAGAGGGAAGAAGCTGGAACATGGCTTTCCCAGGGTGGCCAGAAGAGTCATTGACAATCCTAAGAGCTTTGTTTAAAAGTCTGGATTTATAAAGAACCTCCAGATCAGGAAGCTCACAGCCCACGGTCCTCTTTGCAGAGCGGAGCACCTTGTTTAAAGCTCTCTTTTCTTTATCTGTGATGTTTCCAAACCACACAGACACAGAACCAACAAGTAAACTCTCAATGGTGCAGCGATAAAAGTTAAGCAGAATCTTAGAGTTAGTGGTAAATTCTCTAAGTTTACGCAGAAAGTAGAGACGCTGACGAGCTTTCTTAACGACTCGGTCAGTGTTTTTAACCCATTTCAGGTCGTTAGACAGAGTTAAACCCAGAAACTTGCACTCCTCTACGATCTGCACCTGGGAGTTGTCGATTACGACAGGCAAATGAGAACTATTGCAACTGAAGTCGTAGACCAGTTCACATGTTTTGGATGCGTTCAACTGGAGGTTGTTAGTTTTGCTCCACTGTACCACATTTTGTATCTCTGCTCTATAAGAGGATTCATCATTGTTACTGATGAGACCGATGATGGTGGTGTCATCAGCATATTTAATGATCAAGTTTGAGTCAGAGGAGGACACACAATCGTGAGTGTACAAAGTAAAAAGCAAAGGACTCAAAATACATCCCTGAGGAGAACCAGTGCTCACAGAAACAACATCAGAAAAACAGTCGTTGATTTTCACTCTCTGAGATCTGTCAGTTAAAAAGCTAAAAATCCATTTACACATGGCAACACTTAAACCGAGAGACATGAGCTTTTCAATCAGTTTACCTGGGACAAGGCAGTTAAAAGCAGAGCTATAATCGATGAAAAGCATTCTCGCGACAGATTTACTAGTGTCCAAGTGACTGTAGACAGAGTTCAGAGCAAAGGAGATGGCATCCTCCACACTCCTGTTCTGTCTGTAAGCAAACTGGAGCGGGTCAACACTCACAGGGATCTGGCTCTTAATGAAGTCCAGCACAAGCCGCTCAAAAGTCTTCATAAGAACAGACGTGAGGGCCACAGGACGATAGTCATTCAGGCATGTCATTCAGGCATGTCACAGGAGTTTTCTTAGGAACTGGAATGATGGTTGACTCTTCAAAGCAGTTCGGCACAGTACAGTTCCTTAGCGACAGGTTGAAAATGTCTGTTAGCACAGGGGCAAGTTGCTCAGAGCACAGTTTCAGGACACGAGGAGGGATGCTGTCCGGGCCTGGGGCTTTCCGGACTGTGGTCCTGGACAAGACACGCCTGACTTCCTCCTGAGTCACGGTGAAGGTACCTTGATTGAAACACTCAGGGAATACAGTAGGACAGGCATCAGCGGATTCAAAGCGACAGTAGAACGTGTTCAGCTCGTTTGGCAGAGCTTGGCCGACAGATGCAATTTTCCTAGCGCTAGGTTTCCACGATGTGATGGCTTTAATACCGTTCCACATGCGCTGAGGGTCATCTTCCTCAAAATAACTCTTTAACCTGTCCCCGTAACTGCGCTTTGCAGATTTAATAGAACGTTTCAATGAGTAACAGGATAGCTTATAAGCAACTGTATCATTTGATTGAAACGCCAACGCACGCTCATGAAGTTTCAGTTTCACTTCCGCGTTCATCCAAGGGTTTTGACTAAAATGTTCTTTAATGACCTTCTGTGGGACACAGCCGTCAATACAGAAGCGTATGTATCCAGACACCGCGTCACAGAATTCATTGACGTCCTCTGACTGAAACACAGACCAGTCCGTAGCATCAAAACAACCTTGTAGCTTCATGCTAGCCTCCTCAGACCAACACTGCACAGTGCGAGAGGTTGGTTTATGTTCCCTGCTCCTCTGAGTATACGAAGGAAGAAGGAGAACAGAGGAGTGGTCAGACTTTCCAAAAGGAGGTCTGAGACTGGACCTGTAAGCTCTCTTCACGTTACTGTAGCAGTGATCCAGAACATGTGCTCCTCTTGTAGCTTGAGACACATTGTTGGTAAAAGTTCGGGAGTACAGTCTTTAAATTACATTTATTGAAATCCCCAGCAACAATGATGACTGCGTTAGGATGAGCAGACTCATGTTTGTGAAGGATCTGGCTCAGATCCTGTAGGGCTACTTTGTAATCCGCACGTGGGTGAATGTAAACAGCACATAAAAATATCACTGAAAACTCACGGGGAAGATAAAAAGGGCGGCAGCTCAAGACCAGGCATTCCAGATTGGCAGTACATGTTTGGTTCACGATTCGAGTGTCCGTGCACCAGCGCTGATTAATTAAAAAGCACACACCTCCGCCTCTGGCCTTGCCCGTGGTCTCCTTCACTCTGTCCGCGCGGTGAGCGGTGAATCCCGGGGGCTGAACAGCAGAGTCCGGGACGTTCGAGTGGAGCCACGTCTCGCTGAGGCAGAACACAGCGCAGTCCCGGGCCTCGCGCTGGCTCTGGACCCGACACAGGAGCTCGTCCGTCTTGTTGGGCAGAGACTGGACGTTGGCCAGGTAGATGGAGGGCAAAGGGGTCCTGGAGGAGCGGCTACGAACGAGCAGACCGCCTCGCCTTCCCCGGTGTCTGCGCCTCCTTCGCCGACTCGAGGTGCCCAGCTCCACACCGCGGAGAGAACGCCGGAGACGCCCAGTCCCCTCGCTCTGTTGGCGGCCACCGCCGCGGCCCGCCTGCCGTGCTCCACCAGCCTCTCGAGTGGGACACTCGAGGAAGTTTGTGCACCTCAGTTCAGGTAAAACGAGTGACCCGTCACCCGCGTGATCCCGAATGTGCAAAAGTGTTTGCCGATCATATTTCACTGTGGCAAGTGAATCCCAGACAAAAAACAACAAAACACAGATTGTGCGCACCAGAGCGTTCACTGCGGCGCCCTGACACGGCGCCATCTTGCTAGTCCTCATGATCTCTCTCTCCACCTCTCTAGAGTAGAGCAGAGTAGAGCTGAGTAGAGTAGGGCTGGTGGAAACAGGATTTAAATCTTCTTTTTGGGCTAAAATAAAACTTTGTTAGTCACACATTACTGCAGAGCTGATTAGGGTTTGTTTCATTTTGAACTGCTCTGAGTGTCATGTCGCAGTGATGTCATAGTGGTACAATGACATCATACTATTACAGAACTGAGACAGGAGCTTTTAGACAGATGGGCAGAGCTACACAAATTGTGCAAGAAGTTCCTGATATTCGTGTGGATGGAGCAAAACACAACTGCAGGTTTGTGACTGATGAATGGTGTGAAAAGGTTGATGTTGCTTCTCATTTATCTTTAGTGACCTTAAATACTGTTTACCTATGACAAATATCAAACAGCTTTGAAAAGTTCTACAACATGCACTTTGTTATGGACACCACAGAGACTAGAAACACTCAAACTGAAAAGGAGCTCGAAAGAGACTAGATTAGAACAACACACACAAACTTCATTGGAGCTGGCACAGAGGGAGATGGTGTGAAAGACGGCTGACGAGATACAAGACGTGGTGAAGGAGCCAACGAGGTCAGCCAGCAGTAAACAAGAACGTGTTGAAAGAAGTGATCACCGGCTCGACTATTTTTACCTCGGCAGATCCGGAGCCTGGTGTGGACTGCTCCTACTCCGTGAGGAGGCCAGATGCCAGGACGGGGCCAGGACAAAGCCAGGACGAGACCAGGACGGGGCTAGGACAAGGCCAAGACGGAGCCAGGCCTGGACGGGGGCCACACATTAGGAAACTATTCTCAAGATTGGTTTGTTATATCCTCTAACGCAGACTTTGGCCTTTCCCCAGAGATTTTACTTTAAACTTTAACACAGCTACAGCAGACATGCTGCTATGCTCAGTGAAAACTTCAAACACTTTTTACACTAGTTATTAGAGGTTCACACAAGGGTGCAGTTCATGCAAGGCAGAGCAGAAATTGACAGGAACTGAAGGCCAAGAAGAATGGGCTACTTTATCATCAGAGAGAGAGACCAGAGAAAGAGACCAGAGTGAAAGAGCAGAGAGAAATATACCAAAGAAAGAGAGCAGAGAGACACCAGAGAGAGACACAGACAGAGAGAGATAGATACTAGATGGATAGATAGAGAGACCAGAGAGATGTTTTGTGACAACTCTCCCAGGGGTCTGCCACTAAAATACAAATATACAGAAATAATAAATTAGTATTTCAATAGTCAACAGAGAAACAATAATAAAAAAACAACATGAACAAAATCTAAAATGAAACACAAGCATGCCCAGTCTCCGTCAGTTTTTAAGACTCCTTATTTACAGAAGGATAGGTCCATGCTGTAATTACTGAGCCCCAGACTTTGATTCTTACAGTACCTGTTTTAAGTGAAAACGTGGTATTGTTCCTGTGTACTTCTGTTTAAAAACCTCCACTCTTTGTCCCGTTGTTCTTAAGAAACGCAGATTAGACACTGGAGACACAATTCTCTCACTAAAGCTCATATAAAAAGCCTTTTCACTCAAACTTCAGAAGAGATTCAAGTTGACTTTGTGTGACTGACGGCAAATGGATTTTTCTTACTTGACGGCGTTCTGTCAAGGTCAGTGACAGGAAGGAACACGGAATGAAACACTCTCAGAAAAGCTTTTCAAATGCAACTATTGGAATAAATGTAGGAATAAAAACAAGAACGTTTTCTTAAAAACATGGGTTTTATACAGCGCTTTCTCAGCATTACTCCTTCACTCCATACACAATGGAGATAAAATACTACTTTAGCTACAGCTGTCCTGGGGCACACGGACAGAAATGTCACTGGCACCTCCCACCACAACTAACTATTCACACACACACACACACCAGTGTGTGTGTGTGTGTGAATGTGGGTGAAGTGTGGGTGAAGTGTCTTGTGTAAGGCGAACAAGAGGGGCAGAAAGCATTTCGCCGAGTTGTGTACATTTTTGAGGTCAAACAGCACCATTCACAGACCTTATTTAATTTATATAACAATTGTTGTGGGGATTTGGCCTCTCACTCCAATGAAACGCTTCGAAACACTGACACAGTTTATACTCAAAGCGAAGCAGTGACAACAGAGTCTGTGGCACTGATACGTTTGTCACGTGACCCACTTGGTTTGATACACACTCCAACAAAGTGTTGCGAAGAAGTCTGTTTCAGGAAGAGCCTCACAAGGTCCGGAGCATCTGTGTTGTTTGCCCATCGCTAGATAGGCCGAACCCCTACTGTTCGATCAAACCCAGGTTTAAGAACCACTGCTCTAGTCCCTTTGGTGTCTCTCTTTGGTCTCTCTCTCAGGTGTCCCTCTGGTGTCTCTCTCGGGTCTCTCAGGTCTCAGTCTGGTGTCTCTGTCTGGTCTCTCTCTCAGGCCTCCCTCTGGTGTCTTACCCACAAATCCCCCCCCTGTCTCGAGCAGATTACACACGTACACTGTGGCTACACAACGCACAACACAAGAGCAGTGAAGATACCATTAACACCTTTCCTTTCAGAGACATAGTTTTGACATCAGTCTGACACGCATACATTAGAATCAGCATCTCTCTAAACCGCAGCTCCCTCAGTTACAGACGCAGAGTTTTTAATAGAACACACACAGATTGTCGAGTCGGGGATTTTCCTAAGGCCAAACTTGTTTATTTCCTTCTGCGCGTGCCCTTTCAGATGCTCTGTCTGAGGACAATCTGGACGAGCTCAGAGGAACGTCACAGACAGATGAACAGACGTGATCTGGACGAGGAAACGAGATTTCCACAACATCAAGATCCCTCACATTATGGACTTCACAAAGTGGTGCGAGGTGAGAAGATGAGGGTCAGGGCTTTGAAATAAACAACAATGTCCCAGAATCCTTTAGTAAAAGCAAAGAGCAACGGGACGACTGCACCGCGCCTATGACAAACTGCACCATGATGTAGTAGAGTCACAACAGGGTTCAGATTCAGATTCAGACTACTTTATTTATCCCACCAGGGGCAATTCATTTGAGCAGCACATAACATTAAAAAACACAGGAAATGTGATTTGACATGAAGTGGAGTCCCATACAAACATATGAACATGATACAACAATACAGTTCAAACATTAAAGTCCACATCCAGCTACAGAGAGCTGGATGTGGGGTTTCATATGATGGGAGTGTCTTTAAAGATGGGATGCATAGCATTAAAGCTGAGGTACCCCACATTAAAGCTGGGGTACATTTGATTCAAACCACAACCAATAGAACTCTGTATTAATCAATGTCTCTAGTTCCTGACTCTAAAAAAAGTTGCTCCCATCACTAGTTTTCACATCATGCATTTCTGTCCTGGCTCTTGCACATCTTTAGATCAGCTTGTTCAGACAGAAAAGTGAAAAAGAGAGGACCACCCTCAATCAGCTCTCAGTAAAATATTAAGTGTTTTCCAATGATATATCCAGCATGTTGTGTCTGATTTGTTCAATCTTTCAATTACATCTATTTTTGTATCACCCTCAATCACAACTGTAGTTATCTCAGACGACATTCCAAAATTGTTGAACACATTGTTGAACACAGATCAAACACATGCTTTCTCAACACACGCACAGCAACCAATCGGAGCAGCAAAGTGGAGACATTAGTGACATGTTGGTGCCATATGAACTGGCTTGTACTCTGAGGCGCATAGGGAGAGAAAACTAAACATGGGGAGGCTGCAAATTCATGCAGCAAAAAAACATTCATCATTCAAGTTCAGGTTAAAGACTGTTCTGTTTGCCTGTGCATACAACTGAAGGATTTTATCTCTATTTTGAATGCACTGTAGTTGTTTATTTTTTTAATTCCTGGTGTGATTATAAAGTTTTAATGGTTGTAATTTCTTGTGCGATTTTAATGTTTTTTGTGCCTTGGGTGATGTGGACTGTGAAGCACTTTGTGAAAGGAACTCTACAAATAAAGATTGATTGATTGGGACAAGTCGATCAAAACAGGAAGACGAAGACACTCAAAAACAGCCAAAATTAAACCAGAACTAAACTAGGATTGGGGGACGCGGTGCTTGTGAACATTCATTATGAGTTGACATTCTACTGTGAGTGTATACAAGTGCTGCAAATGTGATCGCCGATACAGAACCGGTTAATACACTGAAAGAACGGGACAGGTGGGGTTGTTCAATTTACACATTTTAAGCTGGTTTAAATAACATGAACAATTTCTGTTTCTCTTAAAAACATAAGAAAATCTTGAAGATCACACTTAATTTTTAGCGTTGTTACATCAACATATCTTAATCATGTTGATGCCAAATGAAAATGTAACATTTTGTCCTTGCCCCTGAATTTGTGACCCGTGAAACCCCGTGCATCGAGAAGCATTCCTCGTGGGGATTTTGAGTCCACCATTTTACAACCAATGCTACATGAACCTGCATCAGGAGGACACCCGCATAAGGTAAATTCAATTTTCTCTTACAAATTAACGATAGGAAGTGGTAGACATCGCCTCAACATTGTTGTTTTCACGGAGCAGAGCTTTTTAATCTGCTATTATTATCAAGCAACTGCAAGCTCCATCCACCTGCTGCCCTCGGCGGTGGGGCGGAGGTGCCCGTGGTTGCTAATGCTAATGCTGCCCTCCTCTCGCTTCCTTTGGGTGCACGGATCGCCTCAGTGCGTCGCGAACGGGTTCGGGTCCGATTGGAAGGGTTTTGGAGAAACATATCAGTTTTTGCTCCTTTTGTTGTTTTTTTCTAGGCGGAATTTCATTTTTTCAACAATACACCACTGCTAGTCTTGCCCCCAATTTGTTTCTTCCTAATTTTCACATCCAGATATTCCCAAGGCCCAACTATGGTACGGGTTCCCGGGACGACCCCGGGGGTACGCAAAGAAATGTTTGAGAAAAATAAATGTTTATCACAATCTGATCGATATTGACCCGTTAAAACCGCCGCACGGGAAACGTGCTTATACAGGCGAAAGAGTCTTATAATTCAGACGTGGATGAGTTTGTTCTGGACCTAAATGTGTCCACTTCAGAACCGGACCTCAAGAGCCGCTTTGGACCGGAGTGCGTAAAACTCTGCGCGCGCGGAGGCCGGGAGCGCGGCTGATGCGTCAGCTCTCGCTACAACAGCAGTGCCTTTAACGTGAACCGTGCCAGAGTTTGATCGAGCAGCAATTTCTGTAATATCTGTCATAACGAGAGAGGAGCCTGTGCGCCCTCAGACTGATGGAGACTTCGACTTCAACAGGAGGTTTCCTCTCATTCTGATCCGAGGAGCGAGGGGAGAAGCGTCTGTGGCCCCTCCTCTGCCGCTAAACCCGTGGCTTTGTATCTGACACGTTTACATTTACGAGCTGATGTGCGGTGGTACGTGCAAAGATGGTTATGCCCTGCGTATACATTATCTTCGCTTTAACAAAGGCTTAAACCAGCGCAGTGGAGTCTGTCCCGGTGGTGACAGGACGACTGAAGGAGACGCAGAGGGGGCGGGGCCAGAGCGCGGGGTCTGATGTTCAGAATGAGCTGGTCACTGGGACAAAACAAAACACTCAGCGTTACCCATTCTCACTAACAGCCTTGTTTCCAAAATAATAAACTGGCATTTTCATAAATATTTTTGTGTTTACATTATTCTTTATTGCCCAGACGAGGCAAAAAACAAGTGGAATGTGGAAAACCTGCTTGAGTTCACTGTAATAATGGAGGAAAAAAACATAATATTACATGTGATATTCCCAGTGTTTTCAATCGCGTCACAGTAGGGGGTACGTGACTCTTCACCTAAAGCTTCAGGGGGTACACGGCTCCAAAACGGTTGGGAACCACTGAAATAGTATGAACATGCTATTTTCAGGGAAATAGCCCATTGAGTGCAAGAGGTTTACATTACCATTACATTAAAAACATTACGATTCTGTTGACCCATACCTTAAACATTTATCTGTGAGCTAACTAACACATGGTTAAGAATCATATTTGTTCTGAGTTTTCATGTAAATTCTTAATCGCTTTTTTGTTGTGTTCTCCAGACTGCTGCCTTTCCTGTCGGTATCAGCCAGTGCAAGGGTTTATTCAAAGACTCAGTAGTAGGGGTGAGTAATGTATTCTACACGTTTTACGCAAACTTCACAAAATACACTCATGTACCCATGACTTGACACTCACCCAAACACTGACACACACACTGATTACATTCAATCACATTTTTTATATTTGTCTCTCTTTTTTCTTTCTTTTGTTTCTTATGCAGTATGTGGCAGTGTAAAGCTTGTTCTGAATCAACTGCAAGTAGGAACGAACTTCTTTCTCACTATAAACTTAAACATCTACACTTTGGACGCACCACCTGTTACCCCTGTGTGTATTTAAGCTGCCCATGCTCATTCAAAACCTGGAATGCCTTAATTATTCACCACAGTAGGGTTCATTCCACTCACACAGCTCAAAGACCGACAGAGCATACTGTATTTTCCTGTCACATATGCAGCTGTAAGGCTTTATCAACAGAAAGAGATTTCTTTAGTCATATTACCACACATCTTAGGCGGAATGAGAATGTTCCTTGTCCGTTTTTAGACTGTTCATTTCAAAGTAATATTTACGGCACATTTAAAAGTCACAAAAGCCGTAAACATGCACCCTATACCTATGCTGATTTAAAGCCGGGAATAGTCAGAACCACAAGACTAGCAACTCAAACAGATGAACAGTCTTCAGATCAAGAGGAAGATGATGATGGAGAGGTTTCTTCTGTATCCTCTTTGCCAGATTTAAACACACAGCCCAAAGAACTCTCTGGTTTAATAGAACAACAACTTGGAGCTGCTCTATTAAAATTAGAATATTTAGTCCATGTCCCTGGAACAGCCATTGATGAGTTTTTACAAGAGCTACACCATTTACTCAGCTCTCCAACTTGCACAGTATCTAAAAGTTTGGTCGGTGCCATACTTCAGAGCAACAGCATCCAAGTAAACGAATCTATTATTGCAGATATTGCCATTGCAGTTTGCTCAGCTACCCCTGTACACAAGGCTATTGAAAAGGGTGGACCTTTAAGTACATCATATCAACGCAGATGTTATTATAACCGAAAAATTTGGAGTTGTCGAACCAGTTACACATGTTTTGAATGCAAAAGAGAAGCACACATTTCAGTATGTGCCAATTTTGAAGTCTCTTCAGCAAATTTTAAAGAGCCAAAATATAGTAGAGGAGGTTATAAAAAATCATCGTGGAGCACAGCATGCACAACCTGATGAGTTTTACGAGTACAAGGCCCCCCAAGATGGTTCTCATTTTAAAAAGAACAGCTTTTTGAATAATGGTGAGTTAAGAATATCTCTACGCCTTTATGTTGATGACTTCGAGACATGTAACCCTCTTGGCACCTCAAGGAGGAAGCACAAGCTGTGTGCAGTATATTGGATGTTAGGTAACCTACCACCTGGATCTCACTCATCATTATCATCTATCTACTTGGCGCTACTTGCCAAAACTGATCATATCAAAACGTATGGCTATGAAAAGACATTCAAGCCTCTCTTGCAGGACCTTAAAGTCTTAGAGGATCAAGGAGTGTACATCCCACTGTTGGGAAAATCTTTGAAAGGTACAGTTCAGACTGTAGCAGCAGACAACCTGGGAGCTCACAGCCTAGCTGGATTTCAGGAAAGCTTTTCTGGAGACTACTACTGCCGCCAATGCACAGCAAAAAGTTGTGATGTTCAACAACATTGTGTTTCATCAGGTGTGTTTGACCCAAGAAGAAAGGATCTGCATGAATCTCATGTAAAGTCTGCACAGGAGACAGGAAAAAGTGTTTTTGGAGTTAAAAGAGGGTGTATCTTAACAGAACATTTGAGTTTTTTTCATGTAGTTGGTGGCTACCCACCGGATCTGGCTCATGACCTTCTTGAAGGAATTGTACCAGTAGAGCTTGCTCACTGCCTTGCACACTTTATATCTCAGAGTTTCTTCAGCTTGGATGATCTTAACACAGCCATACGAACCTTTCCTTTTAAATGGACGGACAAAACAAACAAGCCAAATCCAGTACCAAGAAGCTTTGAAAGTCATAAATCCATCGGTGGAAATGCTCATGAAAACTGGGCTTTGTTGAGGCTGCTTCCATTTCTCATAGGGCATTGTGTACCTGAGAGTGAGCCAGCCTGGCTTGTGCTCATGGATTTGAAAGAAATTCTCGAACTCGTTGTCGCACCCATACATACTGATCAGTCCATTGCGTACCTTGAAAGTAAAATTGTTGAGCATAGACAACGATATCAAGAGCAGTTCCCTGGCATAAAACTTCGTCCAAAGCACCACTACGTGGAACATTACCCCCTCATGATCCGTGCTTTTGGTCCTCTTGTCTGTCATTGGACCATGCGCTTCGAAGCAAAGCACAGTTTTTTTAAGCAGATTGTTAAACATACCAGCTGCTTCAAGAATATACCTCTGACATTGGCATCAAAACATCAGCTGATGATAGCGTTTCATGTGAACTCTCCATCTTATGGTAAATCTCCTCTAGAGGTGTCTGATGTTTCCACAGTCCCAATAGATGTGGTAAAAGATGAAATGGCTCATGCTATTCAGCAGAGGTACCCTGACACAAATGAAGTGCATCTAGCCAAGAAGGCAACAAGCTGTGGCGTCACATACTGCAAGGGAATGATAGTTGTTCATGGCACCGAATCTGGATTACCAGAGTTCTCAGAAATCTTTCAAATGTGCGTCATTGATGATAGGCTATTCCTCATTGTGAACGTGTTGTGTGCATGGTACACTGAGCACTACAGAGCCTTTGCACTGGAGCAGTCATCAAAACCAATGAAACTTGTTGCACTAGAGGAACTAATGGATACCTATCCATTGAGTGATTACTGGGTTGGAAGAAGCCGCATGGTAACCTTAAAACGGCGCTGAGGAGCGCTACGTCCGCGCACTAACTTCTCTCCGGAGACTTCTCTCTCGCTCACTTCCGTCAATAGAAGCAGCCTGACTTGTAGTACGGAGAGAAGTTAGTGCACGGACGTAGCGCTCCTCAGATTACTACGCCTCACAATATAGTACCCGTTTTATCCGCTGAGAAAATCGACAGTTACATTTTCTGTGTTACTATACTTTGCAGTGTAACACGTCACGTAACTATATACATTTAATAGGGAACACTTGGAAGAGTTTGATAGCTTCTAGCGGGAGCTACCTTTTGGGTCCTACACAGTACCCAGAGGAGGCTGCGGTTGTGCTCCCGTTTTTGCTCCGTTTGCATGACAGAGCGCACGGACTAAGACCAGACAGGTACATATTAACTAGTCTAAGGTAAGGTAAGAACATATGTCAGTATGTAAAAACGGTGAACTATTCCTTTAAGGGAGCCAGTGTACGGTTTTTTTCAGTCTGACATTACCAAAAAAAGCAATAATGCCCGAAAATCAATCTTTCTACCAACTATTCAGACACGTGAGCAGACTTTGAAAACCAAAGTCAGAATTGTATTTATTTATGATTTGTGTTGCAGTTAGTAGTTCACTCTAGTTGTAGGGATCAATGAGATCAAATGTTTTTCTACAAAAAATAATATGCGTTAGAAAAAAAAAACATTTTCTGCTGTGGGAAATTTCGACCTTGTAACACCTCACAATGAGGATTACACTGATCTTTGTCCAAAATCATAACTACCTCAATAAGTTCTTCAACTTTCAGCAATACCCAAGCAAAATTTGTATTTTAAAATGAAATATACAAGATCTTGAATAGGTTTGATCCTTGGCGAGTCAAATAAATTGGAAAATTTGCGTAAGTCCCAAATCAGTTAATAAAGTAACTCTCTTTCCAGACAGAGGACATTGACATTCTCAGAAAACTCATCCTAAAGGGACTGTGCATATATCTCCAGGAGGACCCAGCACACCTGTTAGGAGAATATGAGGTGAGTCCAACTGATGTATTGTTGAGTTGACAGTTTAATTCCAGCTGTCGCAGTAAGAACAACCACAGGATGCACTTCGAGAACATCAACACTTATTGTCTCCCGTCCTTCTCCTCGTGTTGCTGTATTTTCTAAAGAGGGCTGTGATGGCTTTCTGGCTTTTTTGTGGACATTGTAATGAGTGTGATGATCTAACATCATTCCTTCCCCCTCTCCTCATGTTAACTGTCTGGTTCCTCCTCCACAGCAGAGCAGTTTCTGTCCTACCACTGTTATGCACTTGAGAGCTGTTTGGCTCCCTGAAAATGTCCTTAAGTCATCTTGATGTTCTTGCAAGGTTTTCTCCACAGTGGGCCCCAGTCTCCTCACTATCATTAACTCTTCTCTGCATTCAGGAGTGTTTCTGTCCTATTTTAAGCAGGCAGCTGCCCAGCCGTTCCTAAAGAAACCGAACCTAGACCACACATTAATGCTAAACTACAGGCCCATCTCCAAGACCTTATTTGAATCCAAGATCCTGGAGAAATTAGTCGCCTATTTTTTAATATTATATATTATATATTATTATTATAATATTATTCTTTAACTACAAACTGAACATACTCAGACTCTAGGGCTGTGGGTAAGAAAAAGTGCGAGACAACTCCTGCATCGTGCATGGTGATGCCTTCAATGGCCATTCATCAACGTGGGAAAAAAAGCACATCAGCCTGAGCAACCTGAACACCTTAGCACTGTAAGACATGAAAATGAACTTCATTAAAGAACTCTGATAAAATTTAAAATAACAATTTGGTGACACTAAATCAATTAAAATAGGTCTTATCTTAGAGTAGTTTGTATTTAGACATGAATTTGTACTATTTTCTGATATGTATTAAAGTTCCTTTGAGATGAAGAACATATTGAATAAGAAATTTAGTTTAGTTTTTTTATGGATTTCTTTTGCATCACAACTGTTACTTTACCTAATTTAAGTAAAAGTAAATTATTTTACCTTAATTTTTCAAACCAAAAGTCACATTCCTGGGCTAGTAGTTGAAGTAGTGGGGCCAGTTCATTTGATTCGCTGGCAAAAAGACCTCAATCAATCCCTGACATTCACACTGTCTTTTAATTCTGCTTGATTTTTCACAAAAAATGCATCAGGTTGATGCTTTTAAATGCCAAATATTGAAAATGTTCAATATTTTCCTAGAGGGGTTGTAAACTTCTCACCTTTTTCACCCCTGACCCGTTTTAATGCCTGAGTTTTGTTAAGGGTCTGGGGGACTATTTATTCTCACAGGTTCTACATTTAACTTTTTATTGAATTTTTATTATAAGATGTTAATTTATACTTTTAAAGTGTTTTGAAGCACTCTGTGCTCTTGTGCGGTGAATAGCACTATACTGTATACATGATTAAGTGTTTAAAGAAAGCTATGAAAGCTTTCTGCCTCCCCTTCAGGTGGTGATTGGTAATATTTTGTTTCTATAAAACTGTGTTCCGTAGAAAGAAGACCGTGCTGCAATCCAGGAGGCCATCGAGGACACCACGGTGGCAATTTTCCACATCAGGGAAAGTGGCGGTGATGGGGAAGAGGACATCCTCGTTGTCCTTGAAGGCCAGGCCGTGGTGGTTGACCTACCAAGTGTGGGGGTGGCGGTTGCCATGCTGTTTGGCCTCATTTACAACTTAAACCTGGACTACCCTCCTCATCTCAGATACACCTTTGAGGTAATACAGAAAGTTGTAATGGAGTTGGAAGGCAAAGTGCTGTCAAAAAGGGCTCAGGCCTTGAAGATCCGACTCTTTGAGTAAAGATGGAACCTTAACCTCCACCCGGACCGGATTGGCTTTACCCAAATCTAAAAGTTTATGGAAAATGAGTCATCAAAATTTGTTAAAAAAAAACGCAGCAAATAAGTGCCAAAAAGAGACCACAAAATGACACAAACAGCAACAGAAAAGTGACAAAAGAACAAAAAAAATGTTACAAAAAAGCGATTAAAGTGCAACACAAAAGTGGAAAAAACAAGTAAATTTTCAAAAACTCAACTAATAATGTGAGATTAACTAAAGAAAAGAATGGCAAAAATGTAACAATTAAAAGTGACAAAAACTGAACACAAGAGACAAAAACGCAAATTAGGTGTAAAATAATGTGGAAAAAGTGATGGTAACAACACAAGGAAAAAGATGAGTTCAGATCAATTTTGTAGGTCTTAGCTTTTGAATGAGGCACTTGCACTGGCTTTAGGTTGCAACTTTTAGATTTGGGTAAAGCTCAACTGGAGAAAATGCACTCGTTTAAGGCGGGAAGTAAGGGGTTAAAAATGTTTTCCTGTTCGACTTCATGATATTCATATTCATAGTTCACCAATTTTCCATACTGATTATTGTTCTTACCTTAGCTTTCATGGCTTCATCGTGTTATTGCTGATGTTTTTATTTTATTGTTCCGCAATCTGTTTTTGTCATCATTGTTCAGATAATTGTTGTGTAAAAGTATATTCTTGTTTAATTAATAAAAGGGTTGAGCCTTAAATTTGTGTTCAGTGTCCTGTGTTTGAATTGTAATAATGCATGTGATTCTTGCAAATAAATATTGGCAGAATATGCTTTTTTAGACATTAAAAATATCAGCAATTGTATTTTTATTATGCACTTTCAATCTAGTAAAATTATCTATATTTCAATGAAATAATTGTGCTGCTAAAACATAATTTTATTGATGGTTCAATGTGAACAAATTGTGGAAAATTGCATGATAAAGTCACGTTTGTCTAATGTAAAATTCTTAGGTGTAGTGAACAGGAGATATTCATTACAATGTAACGTGATTTTTTTATGTGCAATATTCATGTTGACATAACATGATTTTATTATATGCAACCGATGTCCATACTTTTTTTATGTTAATCCAACAGATTTTTTCTTTCAGTGGGGAGACGCTACAGTCCTTTGTGTCAGTGACTTGGCAGCGCTCAGTTGTGGCAGTGGCCTGGCAATCGGCCAATGAAACAGACAGAAGGGTTTTCTCGGAAAAAAAAAACAGACAAACAAGTGTGTTAATACAATACAAAACCAATGAATAATTGCAAATCTAAATTATCCTATGAAATAATTAATATTAACATTTTAAACATTAAATTCTGAAAACCAAATCTGTATTCAACTGCTATCCTAAGCCCTATTTTTCAAAAGTATAACGCTCTCTAAGATCATTTTAAATTTTATATCACCAAAATGTTGGGAAAAAATTTTTAATAACTTGTTTAGACGTTTGGAGATGGTCAAAAGTGTCCACTTTTGAAGGAAAAGTCATAGAGGTGGTTCACACTTACAAATACCTTGGTATATTGCTTGATGACTCCCTGAATTTCAAGCCCCACATAGACAATCTTGTGAAAAAACTTAAACTCAAATTGGGCTTTTTCTTTCGAAATAAATTTTGTTTTTCTTTTAAAGCAAAAAAGCAGCTTGTCACTGCAACATTTGTATCTATTTTAGACTATGGAGACCTGCTGTACATGAACGCGTCTGCTCAATGTCTACACAAGATTGACACTGTATATCATGCTTCTCTGAGGTTCATTACTAACTGTAGGGCCTTGACCCATCATTGTGAGCTGTATTCTCGAGTGGGATGGCCTTCTTTGTCCTCCAGGAGGCAGAGTCATTGGTATACTTTTATTTATAAAGCCATGCTTGGTCTACTGCCCTCTTACATCTGTAACCTAATCTCACGGAGGAGCGTTGGCTCTTATAGTTTGCGTTCAAATGATCATTTGTTGCTCACTGTTCCATTTGCCCGTTCAGAACTGGGAAAAAGGGCATTTGTTCACTCTGCTCCTTCTACATGGAACACGTTGCAAAAAGACTGGAAAATAACTGATCTTATTCCATTGAACGAATTTAAGTCCAAAGTGAGAGCACTTGAGTCAACCTCTTGTAAATGTTATTTATAATGAGTATGTAATGTGTATGTAATTCTTAAACTGTATATTTTGCTGCCTCTTGGCCAGGACTCCCTTGAAAAAGAGGTTTTTAATCTCAATGGGACTTTCCTGGTTAAATAAAGGTTAATAAATAAATAAAAGAATAAAATAATGCCTCTTTATAATCTAACTCAAAGTTCTGTGATCATATGACTCCATGACAGTAACATTATCGTGTGTATAAATGTAATTTTCTACAAAAAAATATTTGGTATGTCTCTTTCTTAAAGGTATAAAGGAGGATTTTCCCATATTTTAGGAAAGAACCGCCCTTTCTACTTTTTGAACAAAACTCTCTGCTCTTATAGGACAAGGACGTATAAACAGAATGATTGACATTTGGGAGGACCAATAGTGTTGATGATCCACCCGGAAGTAGAAAATCCTCTTGTATACCTTTAACTGGAGAGAGGGAGAGAGAGAGAGCAGACAGAAAGAGGGAGGGGGGGGGCTGAGTGGCCTGTATGCCTCAAGCATTTATCAGAGAGGGAGAAGGAGGGAGAAGGAGGGAGAAGGAGGGGCTTTGTGGCTTCTCAAACAGAGGAGAACATGTACGACTGAATTACACCAAATTCATGAACATCCCCTTTAAAATTTGCTACATTTTCCTCGTTTTTTATTGTGACAATGTTTTATCAGTGGTGAGAGTTCTCTCACGTCAAACGACACTTTGCACTAATGGAAAACATTACAATTTGCTTACATGACTAATGCATCACTAGGTACAGCCGGATCTTTTTCGTACTACCTCTGTAACTATTGAAACATTACATCACAATACAAGAGAAATCCCATAACTGATCATTCTGGTCATTTGTCCACATGGAACTCGACAGCCAAGTGGCTCCTTTTTTTTTTTTTCATTAATCAGATCATTATTATTCAATAGTCAGAATCCAACAGTTTAAATACTTGGCTTTTTTGTTTAAATTAAATGTACACTTTCTCCCGCCCCCCGGGGGATATGGAAGGTTTTATTCCCTGTAACTTCTGACCCTAGCTGTCCCTATTTCTAATTATATTTCTATTTTCACTAAATACTTGTGCCTCTCTGCACTTTAAAACGGTGTGCCTCTTTTGCACTTCTAAAACCCTTGTGGACTTTCTTTTCCCTTTTTGTTTTTTAGAGGGGACCCCAAAATTCCCTCAAGGTTAAACGTCAAATAAACCTGACTATTGTTTTATCGCGTCCGATAAAACGCCCGTCACGGCGGGTCTGTCCACACCTGCAGTCATGTGGGCCGAGACCTCTCTGTCTTCTATTTAAAACAATGTGCAGATTTTAGAAATGGTATCTGCTTACCTGTGTTTTGCAGAGTAGAGAGCCCCCAGACCCAACAGACCCAGTCTATCTATCTGAGCTCATCTTGCGTCTTCTTTCTGTATCAAATCACGTCGAGGGTCACCATCTGTTGTCAAAAATGATTTGACCGACGTGTTCAGAATTTGGTACAGAAATAAGGCCAAGATTCAAGAGTTCCAATAGTACATTTATTTCTCTTTACAATTAAATGTTGATACAGAACTCCCGGAGCTACTCCCTAAATCTCTATCCCTGTGCTCTCACTCTCCCAATGTGTCCTCCCAACGGTTTTATCAGAATCCCCGATGACGTCATATGGTCTCAGGCTGGTCCCAGTCTGGTTTTGTCTCAGGCCGCTAGAGACACGCTGTTCCTGAAAATGATACTTTTATCACAGAAGCCTTTGTCCTTGGTACTTGTCTGAATTCCATTAAATCCAGGCTTTAATATTGCACAAAGACATGTTTGCAAACACCTACTGGAAATCATTAGTATACAACATTATAATTCTACAACAATAGTAATAATTATAATAATTGTAATTTCAATATCTTAAATGTATGCTGATTCTTACTGTGCCTTATTCTATTTCAGTTTCCAAGTCTGTGACTTCCTGTTACTTACATTTACATGGCAATAAAAATAATTCTGATTCTTTATTCTCTACTGCCCATAATTTTGTTTTGGAAATGTCTTTACAATCCCTTGGCAGGGGTTGTAGCCGTTAAAAAATAATGACCCCAGGCAAATCAGGTAATTTTTGTTCCGCTCTTTGAACCATTTTAATTTAAATCCATATTCCATAAGTGAGATGTAGATGAATGACCGTTATAATGGCCCGTTCACAGACTATGTCTCACCTGTTTGTGGAAGTCACTAATTGACTAATACTGTATGTACTGTATTTCTTCATTTAAATTTAAAATAAAGCCAACTCAAAGGATCTCAGTGCTCCTGAAGTGCTATCAAAGTCATGAATACTGCACTTTAAAAAACAACTCTAGAGAACAGCAACCATCCCCGGCGACCCACGATGGTCTCCCCATGGAGGTCAATATGATAGTGTAAAGACAGTAAAGAGTAGCACAGCACAGGTGCACAGACTGCCATGAGAGTTTAGAACAGGCATGGGCAAACCACCTTGGAATATCAGTATCAGAAAATAAAAAGTAAACAGCAGGGCGGGCAAAGATTACCGTTGGACATGCCGCGCAGAGCTAACTTTGACACATGCTGAAAGAGAGAGAGGTGGGACAGAGCCAGAAGTGACTGTGGGACTAGATGGAGTCATAGGACTAGATGGAACAATCCCTTGATTAGGAGCCTGAGATTTGTGGCGTGTAACAGTATCAATAGTGATGCCAACTTATGGGAAGGGGTGGGGGTGTTCGAAAGCTTCACTGTGGTCATCAGGTGGGCACCCTCTTTCACCGGTGTTTTCGATGATAGGCCCAGTACACCTCCTGAGGGCTCATCGGCACTGCCTAGTGTCCCAGGTGTGCTATGGACAGTAAACA